TTCGTCGACAAAAGGAATAGCAAAATCGCTCTCCGCGTCTTCCCCCATTTTGTTCTGCGTCATTTCGTGAAGGACGCGTGGCTCTCAGCGTGGGTCATCCACGCGGAACACATTCGCGCTATGTGATTGGCTGTTGTCTAATCCCCCTTGAGATCTGTGGTGTTAAAAATAACTCGAGACGAATTACCTATGGAATAGGGTGTATATGGGGGATGCCTTCTCTGTCCCCTTTATAGTCTCTTGGTTTCAACCCCTTATGAGTTTCTGTCTATGCTTAATTGAAAACTCATCAGAATTTGTTCTTTTGTAGCTTTTGTGTAATTTTTTTACTTGCCTAAATAATGTTACAATATGTCAAGTACGGATAGATTAACGTGTTTTATATGGTATACAATGTCCTCTTTGGGTATTATTAATCCCCAAAACCTTGTACTGTTGACTTGTTCAACAGTTTACTTGTTGATTTCAATTTCAAATTAACTGGGTTTCTTTTTGTTTTTAGGATGAAAATAGTAAAGTGAGTTTGCTACAAGATCGTTTTCACTGTCACGCAACAAAAAAATAAATTGGAAACCGTCCACTGGAAGAAGCCAAGAAAATGAAATGCTATAAAAGACTAATACATAAACAATTTGTCCAAGTCTCAGGTTTTTGTTGCCCACAGTTTCTGAGTTATTTGTCGAAACGTTTCACGCACCTTTGTAGAGTTTTTTATGGAGACGCCATATTGGTGCACCATTTTGGTGCACCAGTATGGCCGTCGGAAATCAACAGAAATATCTGGAGTTCGATTTTTATATAAAAACTCCTTGTTTTTACTCGAAAACTAGCATACGTGCGCATAAATATGTTCTAATACTTGAAATGGTTATACTGCTGAAAATCAAAAGGAGAGACTTCTTTTTCACCTAGACAGCATTCCTATTTTGGTGTCACGCACTGAGAAAACTCCTAAGTTCAAATTGCTGTATTTTCGAAATGAAACATGCTTCGGGAGTCGAAGCTTGTACAAAGAATTATTTTTTGTTTACCTTCGACCTGGTGTAAATAAGAATTCGTAAAACCTCGCTATTTTGACTTTACAATTTGATGACGTCACAGTGAAAAACATCTATATTTAAAGAAATTTTATTAGCTCTAAGCCAATCGGCAGCTTTACATAACTCCTGATTTGCAGTCTGATTTAATAACTCAGGATTTCTGCGACTGTAAAATAAATGTGTCGCTCGCAAAAAGTAGAAATCATGGGAGTTTTGAGCTCTCTGAAATGTCATTATTTTACATAGATGAAAAATAAAAAGGGACCACGAATCCATCCCTGCGGTACGCTATATGTAACAACTGAAACATCCGACTCGACAGACTTATAGTTTACTATTTGCTTCCTATTCATAACATAATTTTTGAACCGTTCCAATACAGTTCCTCTAACCCCATAATGTTCAAGTTTATGCAGTAATATCTCATGATTAATAGTATCGAATGCTTTGGAAAGGTCCAAAAATATCCCAATAATATATTAATTTCATTCAATTTTTAATGTTTTTTTTGTCTGTAAGTTCTAGTATTGCCTGTTGGGTAGATTTCCCAGCTCTAAATCCATATACGTTTTTAAATAAGATGCAATGTTTGTCTAAAAACTTAACTATTCTTTTGTACATTACTTTTTCGAGTATTTTTGAGAGACATGATAACCAGCGCCGTAGCTAGTATGAGGCCAACCGAGGCACTCGCCTCGGTAAAATTTTGACGAATTTCGCCGATCATTTTTATTTTACATAAGCGATCATCGGATATTTTTAACGCATCATGATATTACAAAGAATTCAGCAATTCAGTCAATATACTATGAAAAAATTACCATATCATCGATCTCAAGGGGCTACGTACGTTAACCCAAATTTTTTTTGAACAAATACTGATCAAAACCATTGGCGAGGTTAACGGTCACCCAGATTATGTAGCTTGTTTCTGATTATTGCTTTTTAAATTCCACTTAAATTAACTCGAAAAAAAGTTACCGAAAGGCCCAGAAAACGCTGCAAATCGCATTTCCGAGAGACTAAAGTTCAAAATTTCTCGGGGGGGGGATGCCCCCGAACCCCCCTAGCAACTCCCGCCTGCCTCGGTTGGCCGTTTGGTCTGGCTACGGCACTGATAACACTGAGATTTGTCTATGGTTTGAAGTCTTTCTCTATCATTTGCCTTATATAATGGTCTGGTAATTAATGCTATGAATCTTAAGCGCATCAGGAATTATTCCTGTAACAAAAGACAAATTGAAGATGTGTGTTAGTGGTTTTACAATGTAGCTGGCTATGTTCCTGACAACCTTTGAAGCAATATCATCATAACCATTTGACTTATTTGCATTTAATTGTGTTATTCCTTTGTCTACTTCACCTTCTTTAACTGGATCTAAGAATACTGAATTAATATTTCTCTTTCCTTCAAATAGGATTACGTTTGAGAATTAGCCGGTATTTTTGCGCTAAATGTAGTCGGATATTAACAAAATATACATTAAATTTAGTTGCTATTTCATTAGGGTCTGCTATTACGTTTTCTTCGACATTCATTGAATTTGTCAGATATACACTCTTAATTTGTATCTATTCCTGTTAATACCTTCAAAGCGTGTCTAAGGTTACTCTTAGATTCATCAAATTTCACATAGTAGTAGGCTTTCTTTGCGGCAGATTTTACTGTGTTGAATTTATTTCAGTAACGTTTGTAGGTTATCATATAGATTATAGTTATCGTTTGGAGGTCTATAAATCACACCTATCAATATATCACTGGGTTTATAATTAAGTTTTATAAATTGTGCCTCCATTACATTATCCAGATTTCTAGACAAATCTGCTCTTTCTGTGTATTGGTAAGATTGATTAACATACATTCCAACTTCTCGACCATGTTTGTTATTTCTCGACATTCCAACGAATTCATACTGAGGAACTGAAAACTCATCCCTGTTTTGTTTAGTTAACCACATCTATCGCGGTGGTCTAGGCAATAAAGACCCAAAGAACCCAAAGAAAGTTGTTGGGTATTTAATCCTGCGTCACAGCGTGGTTTCCGTGCCTTATAGGTCTGATAGCTTGTCCAGTCTAGCAATCAATTCGGACAGCTTGGCCGAAACTTCGCCGCAAATGGCCACAAGCATTGCTTACCGTTTACATTTATTTGTTTGGGAGCCACTTTCCAGCTGATCTTTTTCGGCAAAAATTTCTGCTAGGTTTTCTTTTTCATTTTTCAAGCCAACCAGAGCCATATATTAAGCTTAGGCATAATCATATAACTTCAGCAACTTTGCAATTAGTTCTCGACGAGCTTCTCACAACCCGATGGCCTTCAATTAAGGCGAACGTCTTTGCTTAGAACAATTGAATGGGTGGTTCAATAGTTAGAATAGCTAGGGGGTTACCTGTAGTGATAAGAAAAGGAGCTGGTTTTTATATTACATTTCGCCTTAAGAAAGCGATTTTGTAAAAAATCACGCACAAACAATTTCGTTTCTTTGCGTAACAGTTTAGGCAACGTACGTCTACATTGTAAGATGTTTACTAAGAACAGAATCAGTGTAGTCAGTGTTTGGAAACTCGTCACGCAATTAAATACGTCTGCAGTTTTAAAACCACTCTTATACTCTCTCTGAGAACCCTCAAGCGACGTTGAAATGTGGTCTTCGTGCAATATATAACAATAAGGCAACAAGTGTGTCCTGAAGTGTTTAGCTTTCAAAACAGGGTTTAGACTGAAGCCGATTCTTCCAAAACGCGTAAAATCCTTGACACTTCAATTTGTTGTCGTTTACTTTGATTAGCTTTACTTCCTGCTTTGGAGTTAACAATTTTCTTTCCAAACCAAATAAACTTCCTTCTTGTTTAGATTTAATTTTAGGAGCATTGTAATATATTCCTATGGATAATAATTTGCGTTCTACAAATAGTTTTTCTTTATAGTATTTTATTATTATTGCCAGCAATCCCAGTATATATTGATCACTGAACAACCTCAGATGAGTATTTATTCAAAAAATTGTGTGTATGTATGTGTATGTCCTAACCCATCTCTGTTTCCCTTTCGTTAAAACAACTGTGTATGGGATAAAACTGTTTAGAAGTACTTTCTCCCAGATAAGTTGTTCCTAACTCAAAATTTCACCAGAGATACCAAGTGGTTTTTAATTTTTTGAAAATGCAATGAAACCTAAAAACTTTTATTTGTTGTCGTGTCTTTTTTAGTAAATACAAGACTGCAGACACGAACTATAGACATACATATGTATTTTTGAACATTCAAATATCATTTTAATACATCGAAACCGAACTGCTTTTAAGTGCAAATTCAGCTTTATTTTCCAAACCCAGGTCACCTTTACACTTTTTACACTTTCACATGAAAAGATACCTGACCAGATCACAGATTTGTTCATGTAATAGAAAAAAAAAAAAATTTTGAGGGAAAATTTCTTTTCCCTAGCTATTACTTAACCAAGGGGATATCAATTAGCGTTTGTGACTAGCTTTTTTAATTTTAAAGATATAGTGTTTATAACTCTACTTCCGTAGAACAATTTGTTAATATTGCTAGTCCCGTTTTTACCTATCTTTCAGCGAAAACCACTATGGACAAGGTTCTAAAAAAGATTGTCACCGGCATGATTGCGGGAGATTTCCTTTGGAAAACTAAACGAGTTGTCCAGGCTATCATGCTGTGGAGCGAGTGCGTAATACTCCTAAACATCAAAGCCTTAGAGAAAAAAAATGACTTTGCCACAGAATTGAGTATAACGCTGTACCAAAGGTTGTTTTATGGGTATACTGCTATTAAGAATCTCTCACCGGCTATAGAATCTGGCAAAAAGCTTTTAGTCCTACTTCGTGATTGTAAGAGAAAAAAAGAAGAAGGTGAGACAGCCTTACTGCTAGCAACAATGTACTACGGAAAATGTAAATACAAGGAAGCGGAAGCATTCTTCAAAAAAGCACTCTGTGTCAACAAAGAAATCAACGACAAAGACGGAGAAGCGAAATGCTACATAAACCTGGGAGTTGTCTTTCAGTTTGTCGGAGAATATGCCAAGGCTGAAGAATACCTTCATAAAGCACTTACCATCAGCACAGAAATTGGCGACAAAGACGGAGAATCGACATGCTACGCGAACCTAGGAACGGTATTTCAATCTGTCGGAGAATACGCCAAGGCTGAAGAATATTATCATAAAGCACTTACCATCAACACAGAAATTGGCGACAGAGGCGGAGAATCGACATGCTACGGAAACCTAGGAACGGTATTTCAATCTGTCGGAGAATATGCCAAGGCTAAAGAATATCATCATAAAGCACTTACCATCAACACACAAATTGGCGACAGACACGGAGAAGCGGCGTGCTACGGAAACCTAGGAGCGCTGTTTCGAACTGTCGGAGAATATGCCAAGGCTGAAAAATATCTTCATAAAGCACTTACCATCAACACACAAATTGGCGACAGACACGGAGAAGCGGCATGCTACGGAAACCTAGGATCGCTGTTTGAATCTGTCGGAGAATATGCCAAGGCTGAAGAATATCTTCATAAAGCACTTACCATCCGGACAGAAATTGGCGACAGACACGGAGAAGCGAAATGCTACGGAAACCTAGGAGTGTTATTTCAGTCTGTCGGAGAATATGCCAAGGCTGAAGAATATCTTCATAAAGCACTTACCATCAACACAGACATTGGCAACAGACACGCAGAAGCGACATGCTACGGAAACCTAGGAACGTTATTTCAGTCTGTCGGAGAATATGCCAAGGCTGAAGAATATCTTCATAAAGCACTTACCATCAGCACAGAAATTGGCGACAGACACGGAGAAGCGGCATGCTACATGAACTTAGGAGCGCTGTTTAAATCTGTCGGAGAATATGTTAAGGCTGAAGAATATCTTCATAAAGCACTTACCATCAACACACAAATTGGCGACAGACACTTAGAAGCGTCATGCTACGGAAACCTAGGAACGGTGTTTCAATCTGTCGGAGAATATGCTAAGGCTGAAGAATATCTTCATAAAGCAATTACCATCAACACACAAATTGGCGACAGACGCGGAGAAGCGTCATGCTACGGAAACCTAGGAGTGTTATTTCAGTCTGTCGGAGAATATGCCAAGGCTAAAGAATTTCTTCTTAAAGCACTTACCATCAACACAGAAATTGGCGACAGACACTTAGAAGCGTCATGCTACGGAAACCTAGTAAAGGTTTTTCAATCTGTCGGAGAATATGCCAAGGCTGAAGAATATCTTCATAAAGCACTTACCATCAACACAGAAATTGGCGACAGACGCGGAGAAGCGTCATGCTACGCAAACCTAGGAGTGTTATTTCAGTCTGTCGGAGAATATGCCAAGGCTGAAGAATATCTTCATAAATCACTTACCATCAACACAGAAATTGGCAAAAGAGACGGAGAATCGACATGCTACGCGAACCTAGGAACGGTATTTAAATCTGTCGGAGAATATGCCAAGGCTGAAGAATATCATCATAAAGCACTTACCATCAACACAGAAATTGGCAGCAGAGACGGAGAAGCGACATGCTACATGAACCTAGGAATGGTATTTCAATCTGTCGGAGAATATGCCAAGGCTGAAGAATATCTTCATAAAGCAGTTACCATCAAGACAGAAATTGGCGACAGAGGCGGAGAATCGACATGCTACGCGAACCTAGGAATGGTATTTCAATCTGTCGGAGAATATGCCAAGGCTGAAGAATATTATCATAAAGCACTTACCATCAACACAGAAATTGGCGACAGAGACGGAGAATCGACATGCTACGCGAACCTAGGAACGGTATTTCAATCTGTCGGAGAAGATACCAAGGCTGAAGAATATCTTCATAAAGCACTTACCATCAAGACAGAAATTGGGGACAGAAACGGAGTAGCGACATGCTACATGAACCTAGGAGTGCTGTTTGAATCTGTCGGAGAATATGCCAAGGCTGAAGAATATCTTCATAAAGCACTTACCATTAACACAGAAAGTGAAGTCGGTGAAGGTGTGAAGGCTCAAAAATATTTTCAGAATTCTCTTCAAATTTGCAGGAGGACTGGAAACATCAATTTGCAATATCACTCTTTACTTTCCCTATTTCGGTGTCTTTTAAAGTCAAAAGGAAACATATCTGAAGCCTTAATGATTCTCCATAGAAGTATTCAAATTTTCGAAAAAATGCATAGCTTTCTAGGAAACAAAGATGGCCGCAAGATATCATTTTTTGACAACCACGCGGAACCCTATCGGCTGTTTAGTTCATTGAGTTTTTCTCATGGGAAACCCTATGAAGCTTTACACGTTGCTGAACTTGGACGGGCCAAAGCTCTTGCAGAACTAATGTCAAACCGTTACTTTACTGAAAAAGAAATATCCATCGACACACAATCGTTTGTTGGCATTGAGGAAGTAACGACGAAAGATGGCAACAGCACTTGCCTATACATCTCCTACTACTCTGACAAAATATTTTTGTGGGTTTTGAAACAAAGCAAACTGGTGGCTTGCCGAAGAACGAAACTTTGTGAAAGCTATGTTAGCAAGGACGGCAAAATCTCTGTGGATGACCTTTTTGGAAACGAAAGCTTATTAAGAAATTTTCACGTGTTACCTCAAGAGCAATGCGAAGACCGATCACTCTTCTCTTCTTACACCAACCAACTTACAAACGAATCAAATCTGGAAGATAGTCTCTCATCCTTGCGTCTTTCTTTAGATGAGGACGAAGTACACACAGACCCTGAACCGCCAACACTTGTTCAGATTTACAACATGTTGATTGATCCTGTAAGTGACGTACTAGAAGGATCTGAAATTATTGTTGTTCCTGATCGCTGCTTCTTCAAAGTTCCGTTTGCAGCATTACATAATGAAAGTAACCACTTTTTATCAGATTCATTCAGGATACGCATTGTTCCTTCTTTGACGACTCTCAAGCTCATTCTGGACAGTCCAGCGGACTTTCACAGCGAAACTGGTGTATTGATTGTGGGTGAGCCAAGAGTGACGGATGTGTATTTCAAGGGAGAGTTAAGGTATCTCTGTCCATTGCCTGGCGCGAAAGCGGAAGCAGAGATGATTGCAAGACTACTACCTGGATCTCACCTTTTAATAGGAGAGCAAGCAACAAGGCAAGCAGTTTTTCAGAGAATACCCTCAGTGAGTCTCATACATTTCGCTGCTCATGGTAATGCCGAAAGAGGAGAAATTGCTCTTACCCCCCCTGACTCCGCAATGCGTCCTCCACATGAAGCAGACTACTTACTGACAATGACCGACATTTCACAAGTTAGACTGTCAGCCAAACTGGTGGTCCTTAGCTGTTGTCATACCGCACGTGGAGAGATCAAAACAGAAGGCGTTGTTGGAATCGCTCGAGCATTCTTAGGATCGGGTGCACGCTCGGTGTTGGTGGCATTGTGGGACTTACAAGACGATGCAACAGAACAGTTCATGAGAAGATTCTACGAAAACCTTGTCCAAGGAGAAACTGCAAGTGAATGTCTTCATCGGGCCATGAAGTGGATGCGAAATAACGGTTTCTCTGAAGTGAGACAGTGGGCACCTTTCATGCTGATTGGAGATGACGTGTCATTTCACTTTGGTGAAGAAAAGTGAAGGTAATTCGTGCTTTCTGATAATTAGGGCCATAGGAAATCTGCCAGGTCTTTTTGTATTGCAGTTTTCAGTATCAACTTGGGTACATTTGTAATTTCAAGTACTAAATAAAAAGCAGTATTTACCCTTGAAAGCCACATTATTGACTACACCTGAAGTCAGCTTTTTTATGACTAAGGTAAAATATCAATCAACCGCTTTTTAACATCGATAGATACTAAACGCACACAAAAAATAAAGCCCCGTATCCCTACAGTAACACAGAATGATTTTAAATCTTTTCTCTTTTCCGTGATCTATGAGGCAAAAATAACTGAATATTTTTCTATTTACTACCTCTCAATATGAATAAGAACGTTGGCTTAATATAATGGGATACGATGTGAATTCCAGAAATGAAACCAAAACAAACAACCCAAGGTAATCTTTAGTTTGATATAAAGATAATCAGAATAAACATATCATGGCGGAGATCTAGATCTGAGAATTGATCAAAAACACTGAAAACTACGAATTGTTGGCTGTGTATGGAGTATTGACCGTACCTACAGCGCTTTTCGCGGACACTGACAGTAGTACACTGGCTCTAAACTTGGACCAAAGAGAAAAGACCGAGATTCCAAAGGTCATCAAAGCAAGAAGTTTCAAACCCATTTTAGCTGTGTACCCTGCTTTTCATATATGATGCCTATTGGAAAGTTTTAGCGGTGACATAAACTTAAATAAGTAAACTTTTCCCTTATGATAAAGCCGGAGGATCCCTCTTCCATGTAAAATGAACCTAAATGCCACTTACCCCAGCTGAAGTCGTTTGTAATGAATATATGCGTTTTATTAATTTTTATGTTTCTTATACATTACTGTTGCAGGTATTACACTAACGACACACCATGGAATAACGAAACAGCCCTTCCGCAGAATTCCAATGAGGTAGTCCCTGGCGGAAAATGTAAATGGTCAATCCCTGCAGCATACGAACATAACCTAGACTAGAAGAATTAAAAGAGAACTGACTTGCTTGGCCCAGCTGTTCATCTTTGCCGGCCTGATTATTTTTCGCGCTGATTTTATGAATTTGTGTGTGTGTACATAGGTAGCTTGAGTACTCTTGACTAATCTCGGTCTAAAATGTCTTGCAAAAGCACCAATCACCAGCCTCGTAAAAGTGTACATCGGTAGCTCGGACAATGATACACTGTAATTGCGACGCGAATAACATCTGGATTAGATAATTTCCCAGGCTATCTATTTAGGTAATTTGTTAACTTACTTCCCTAATTAGTCACTAAGGCTACAACTAACAAATACTTTTCACGTAAGCGAGATTCTTAATCGCAAATTGAAGTTTGATTACAATGTAAACAACATTGCAAGGTTTATAGTTTAGTCGAATTGTATATATTTTAGAGCCAATCTTTCTGTGGACATAGAAGCACAGTATATAGTTCTGCAACCTTGCATTATGAAATAAAGTTTGACGACTCAATTAAGTCAACTAAAAGCCTAGCGAAACCAACTTGTCCAAACTCCAAACTAGCCATCTCAGTGGTAAACTAAAGGTTTTTTCATTGTATAATATTCATGCCTGAGCATAGGTTAGTATGTTAGTATAGAAGCGTAGTACGTTTTTTTAAGTACTTGCTTTAGAAAAAAATATCCACCTAAAGTACAAAGATTTGGTGGTCCAGTTTTAAGTACTGTTTAGAGTTCCTTAGAGTAGGAAAACATGTCGCGTATGCTAGAAGGCCGCACATGGAGGTTTCATTGTAATGTGTATAATAATGTAATCTCACCAGGTTTTTAAAAATAAAGCGTATGCGATAGCAAACTCAACGAGGAAACTTTATTTTGCCTTTCGTTGTTAAGACGTTTTGTGTTTATCCTTAATTATCTATTTTCTCTTTAACAAAAAAATCAGCATTTCCTATATCAAAGAGATTTAGAATCACATTTTCACGTCAAACGGCAAAGTTAATTCTGACGTAACCAAGGTGTCAGTCTAAAAAAGTAAACAAATATACTGGTAATTTGTAATTTGTTTTCCCATGGAGCATTTAGAAGTTGCTAACAACTTATACGTGTCCGTGTGTCCTGGGTCGAATTGGAATTTGGAAAGGTTTGTTTTTGGAGAGAGGGGAAAATCGGAAAACCCAGAGAAAAACCTCTCGGAGAGAAGAGCTAGTACCATTTTATATACCTAAAGCATGAAAAAGGTACCCCTTTTAATCGGAGCCTCCCCATAAAGGCCATTATAGAAAGTACCGGTACCCTCCTCCCCGGGAGAAGGGAAGCAAGTGCCCTTACCACTGCTCCACTCTTGCTCAGTTTTCAGCGTCAGAAACCAATTCACTTGTTGCATTTGTTTTTCTTGCTGTATCGACACAAAAAAGGTAGTAGTTCCCTGTCGACAAGTTTAATCCATAACAAGTATTTCGCAAAATTTGTACCTGTTTATTTCCTGATTCAAGGAAATGTCACCTTGCGTCTAATGTTTGCCATCTGCCCTAAACGCGACTCTAAATATCTCGATTTTCCTCTCAACGACTACTACAATCCATAAATTTGGTCTCCGCATAAAAGTTTCTGCCACGTATGACGCGCCATAGGGGACAAAAATACTTGTGTGAATTTGCGTACAACTTGTGTGAATTTATACACAACTTATTTTTGTGGAAGATAACTTCCTACAATACATTTACAACTTTGCTGTTAGGTCTACGACTTTCAGCTTCATTTACTTGACTTCTAACAAAATATGTACAACTTGTTCGAAACAAACCACTTATCGCTCTATTCACACAACTTTTAACTTGTAGACATCAAGGTTGTTTTGCAATTTACGACGTGTTGTTTACATGTTTGACTTACGGCAGTTTTTATAACTCACCTACGGAATACACGACTTAGCATTGTTTGAGTACAACTTACTCTATGAAATATAGAACTTCTTCCACATTTTCGTCCTACTTGTTATCGATTTTTATGATCGATTGGTTTCACCAAATCCCAACATTCCTTGCGCGACTTACAGAAAAAGAAAATGGCGGCTGAGACGGAACTGGAAAGAGTTATTTTCACTCTCCCATCTTTGCTGTGTGAAATGGAACGCCATCATTTAACTGACGACATCAATATGTGTGGATTGTTTGCAAGAAGAGGGGAGGATTTTGTAGGCTTACTGAGAGTGTGTGCGTCGTTGCTAGCAATAAAAGGGGGTGGTAGGCCTACACGACTTTTACCTCATGCCAAAATGTTGCTTATTCCAATAAAGTTTTTTTTTTCTCTGTTGGGTAGATTATGCTCTGGAAGGTTCTACATTTTCACTGAGCAAATGTGATTTTAGCCGCATGTTTCACACTGAGAGGTCATGACACACATATCGATTCACTGTAGTTATTGTTTCTGGTCGGCAGGATTTGCCCTCTGATACAAGCGCATTTTCCTTGACCTCTTTTGAAGCGTAAAGCTTTTTTATTACGGCTGAATAAGGTTTCCAATTTTCTCCAAACTGCCTTCTGGATCTGAATAACTAAGCGATTTTCTTTAGTCCGTGAGTGAAATGTTCTTCTGCAACGCTGTATCACGCTGGGCCCAGCTCGTTAGTTTTCTCTGCAGAATGTTATATTATCACGGATAGTGATTTGCAGATCCCAAATTATAAGAATGAAGTGCAGTTTAAACTGAAGCTACATCAACTTACTATGGAGAATTGAATTGTGACTCAGTAAACTCCAGCTTGGTGTTTTTCTAAAGATAGTGTGAGTCTTTTGACTGGTGCGCGTAGTTCCTCCCTTGGTAATAGCTTTGAATAAGCTTAACAGTCTTTAAACTGTTTTGTTATTGCCACTTTGTGATCAGTGCTTAAATTTTCGCGAAATGCTTTCCAAAAAATCACACCTCTAGCTTGAAGCACAAAAGGATCGAAATACACACTCCGTAATTAGTTACGTTCAGAGGCCAATAGGAAAACAAGAATTTCGATCCGCCAAGTGGGTATTTATGGTCAAGTTCAAAGCTCAATAGACAGAACGGCTGTACCGTTCTCGCCACGACAAAGTACAACTAAAGTTGCTCTTGTAAAAGCAACTAAGCACAAACCCAACCCGGCAACTGATGAAGTTCGTGTGGAGAACCGAAACCATGGTCTTGCATGATCACTAAGTGGTCAGGTTACTTCTCCTTTGTTTCTAAACTATATGGACTGGAAATGTCTGTGACAGATACATCACAGAAAGAAGTGGTCTACTGGACAAACTTGAAGAGGGTGATTCTGTTATGGCCGACAAGGGGTTCAACCTCAGAGATCTGCTAACAAGAAAGAAAGTTGCACTTAATATCCCACCACTTTGCAAAGGTACCTTTCCAATAAAGGGAGCTAATGGGGTAGGGGTGGAAGAGGGTATGCTAAGATCAAAGAGAAAGTCTCCCTGGACAAAGTAAAAAACAAAAAAAACCAGATATAACAGCATCCATAACTTGTTGCTCCTAAAAAGGATCTTTCTAACTAAACAGAAGAAGTTTCTTTGGAATATTTTTATATTATAGGGTTAGGTTGAACTGTTCAAAGATAAAGGTAGTCTCTACTAACTTTCAAACATGTTTACATAGCAGGGGTGGATCCAGAAAATTCAGAAAAAGCTGGTGTGGGGCAGACAATATTCTAAGTGTTTGTGCTGCCCTGTGGAATTTGCTACCACCACTGGCCAAATGACTGACGCATTTGTCCAGAGAGCAGAAAAAGTACACTAAGTTATTGTGACGTGGAAGTGATTGCAACGTAGTGTATGTAAATGATAAATGAAACATGTATTAAAAGTATCCAGAGACAGATGAATAAAATTATGTGTTATCTAATCCAGCACAGACAAAAAAAAACTATTTAAGCACCTTCACTTTTACAATCAGCATCTAACGACAGTCACTCTATAATGACTTAAGTATGTCATAATAGAATAGTTCCTGAACTATATACTTCACAAACAAGTTTCTCAGCTTTTGGAGAATTTCATTCCACAAATCACTATCAAACTTAACGTTTACAATCAATATTCCTTTGAGGATATAAATAACTAGATCACAGCGATGAATCCCTGTTATCCTCATCATGCCCTGGATTTGGTAGCTCCATTTGGTTTCTTTTTTAATTTCATACTTGCCATCCACAAGAATGAGGTTCTCCTCAGCTGCAACATGTGGAGGGAGATTTCTTTTTGCATACATGCTTTTAACTTCAATTAACTTCTTTTGGCAGCAAGTGCAAATCCTTATACCATCAGGACTGGCTCCCAAGAAGGGCCATAATGTGATTACAATGACTCCACTTTTTTCTATTGACAACTTCTCATGATTTTTGGTCTGTTTTTTTTTATGTAAAGACCAAGTGCTCATTTTTCTTTTTCATGCCTTCATGTCAACTGTCGTGGCATGGCACCTTTAGCAATTAGACAGTAATTCATGAGATGTTTAATAGTGTTTCTTCTGTCAGTGCTCTCTCTAAGGTGGCACACAGTGTAAAATGAGGAAGCTGTAATTCTTCCTGCCCTTTGATCAAACCAAAATTGAGACTGGGATTGATAGACAGTTTTCTTGTTGATCATTTCTGCTTGCTCTTCATTAAATGGAATAGACTC